AAGCCAAACTTCACTGTCGCTTGATTGGCATGTAGTGCCTGCTCCTGGGCTGTCTTCTTGCTCTCCTGGGGACACTGTGAGATGGTAGTGGTTTAGGGAGTGGTGGCAGATTAAGGCCTTCACAGGCTCCTTGCATTTGCGGAAGCATCCTTCGAACTGCGGATTTGACTGTGGTCCGGACAAGGTTCTAATATCTGCTCCAGCTACCTATTTATGAGTTGTGGAAATCGAAGGCCTGTTCGTAGATGTCACAGAGCCTTTCCCGACATTTCAAACATGGGGATCCTAAAACGTAACCACGGGTATGGTCCCTGTAGCACTGTGGCTGCTGGACCAAGCTTGTGGAACGCAGCTCTAAGCATCCCGAGCCCTGGAATCTCGCCGTGAACCTTCGCCAAATGACAGTCCAAGCCACCCCAAGTCTGCAGTTTTTAGGATTTTCGTGTGTTGCTCAATACGGTCCCTTCAAAACCGAAATCTCGAAGTGTCATCTGCGCCTTGCCATAGTCGGCAAAGGGACTGAGCTCGCTCCATAGAGACCTGTGAAGAAGTCAAGCTGTCACACAGCCGGCAGAAGGCTTGGGCCTGGGATTTTGAGTTGACACAATGCAACATTCATCCATCTCTTGGTCTATCTCTCTCTCACACACATATTCTGACTCGGATGCGTCTTGCACAGGTTGCAAGTTGCAAGATCGCCACAAGCAGAAATAGACAGAATGAAATGTCGGGAATGAAGCAAACGAAGCCTGTCTAGAATGAACTGGTAAGGGGTAAGTCGTCCCAGGCCCGGGTCCAGACCGCAGTACAAGCTCGCATTTAGCGACGACAAAACAAGCTCCCTGGTTCTTGAAGCCACCACGACCAGAAGCCATGGACAACGAACTGCACATGGCAAAGCCAGCTGCAGAAGTTCGCGCCCGGGTCAAGCTCCTATCAGACTCGCACCCATACTCTGCTCAGGTGAACCGCTGTCATCCCACCGAGGGCCCCAGCCGCTTCTCGTAGCTGTCCGGATCGACAACTTGTCGCGTCTGCAACAGGCAAGCTGAAAGTCTTCGAGGTCGCGTTTAGTATTCCATAGAAGTCTGCGTAATGGGTCATAATATGCGGCTGTTGCCTTCTATAGGCATACCCCAACAACCCCACGTTGCCCTGAGGACTAGCGTGGGCTTTGACCCGGACCCCTTCGAAGCCTAGGTGTGTGTGTGTGTATATGTATGTATATATACATATATATATATATGTATATATATGTATGTATGTATATATGTATGTATATACATATACACACATACATATGTACATATCTTCTATCCTTAGATATGCCTCTCTCTCTCTATATATATATATACATATACATATATACATATACAGACATAGATATAGATATAGATATAGATACAGATACATATATATATATATGTGTGTGTATGCATGCATG